TGAATCCCATGGTTCTCTTTCCATCCTAGTTCTTTTATCTTCATGTACATCAAATCATAATGTCCTGTCCTTTGAAATTCTATAATCTCATTACATATCTTCTCAAGATATTCCTTTTTGGCCCTGTTCGTGGCTCTTTTCAATTCATTCCTCAGTCTCCAGTATTTCCTCCTGCCTTCTTCATTGTTTACATTCTTCCATTTCCTTCGCTCCTCCATTTTACTCATCATCTCCTGTGTAACCCATGGTTTTCTTGCTATCTTCTCAACTTTACCAACCAATTCGCTAATAGTATCTAACATGCATTCTTTTATATTGTTCCACTGCACTTCAGCATTTCCGCTTTCACTTTCAATTGCACTGAGTTTCTCTTCTAGGGTCTCCTGCATGCTTTGTCTGTGAGCATATAACTTCTCCAAATCCCATCTAGGTCTGCGCTTTTGGAATCTTATAATTTTCTTCAACCTTGTTTGAAACTTGGCAACCAGTAAGTTGTGGTCAGAGTTAATATCTGCCCCAGGCAGTGTCTTCACATCCTTCACACTGTTTCTGAATCAATGTTTCACAATGATGTAGTCCAGCTGATGCCGCCTTAAATCCCCAGGTGCCTTCCATGCGTAAAGTCTTCTCTTTGGCTTCTTGAACCAAGTGTTGGTAACAATCAGTCCATTTCTTTCACAAAAGTCAATAAGCATTTGACCCCTGTGATTCCGTCTTCCTAGTCCATGTGATCCAACAATATTCTGATATGATTCATCTCCAACAGTGCTATTCCAGTCTCCCAATATGATGCTGTTTGTCACCTCTTCCATCTTCCTGAAGAATTTCTTCAATTGTGTCATACACTTTTTCCACTTCATCATCTTCATACTCTGATGTTGGCATGTACACTTGCATAATCAGTATATCTACCGGTTCCGCCTTTAACCTCAGAGCAATAATTCTGTCATTACAAACAATCTTCTTAACAACACTCCTCACTACACTTTTATGCACCACTATTGCCACACCTCTTTCAGCCCGTTCACCTCCATAATAATACACTGTATAATCACCACTTCTTATTTCACCTTGTCCTTTCCACCGCACTTCACTGACACCTAAAACAGACACCTCATTCTTCTGCATTTCCATTTTCAAATTCTCCAATTTGCCTGCTTGGTTCAAGGTTCTTACATTCCATGTTCCAGTCTTGTAGCTGTGATGTTCCTTCTGATCTTCGCACTTCTTCTTTTCGTAACGCATGCATGACATTTCCTCTAGAAACACTCCCCCCCGGAGATCTGATTGGGGGAGTAGTTTACCACCGGATTTTTTTGCCTCCAGAGGAAACATCTTGCATACTTGGTATCTCTGTTTTTGGAAAGAGACTATCCAGGAAAATTGATAATGTGGTAGTTTTTCCATTTGCTTCCCACACTGCAGTACAACAGCTGTTCAAACCACTCTGGTCACGCCTGTTGCTATACGAACTTGAATGATCGAGCATCATTTGCTCTGTGCTTCAAGTTGCTGCTGATGACCCTGCTTCCGGCTTCAGTTTTTGGTGTCTCTCTTCGTCTGATGCCTATCCTTTGACCTGTCCAGCAAAGGAGGCCCTGCCAGTAGCTACACTACCGCTGGTATAGCTCTCAGGGTCCTTGGCATACTCAAACCCCTCACCACGATAAGGTGGAGCCACCAATTATAAATTATTCCCTATACTACTGAATTAAAGTTTTTGGGGTTAGTATTACATAATAATATGTGTTGGAAGTCTCATATTGAAAATTTGGCTGTTAAAACTCACTAAAGCTTGTTATGGTGCAAGAGTAATTAGACTTTTGTATCACTGAACTCCCTTAAGATGATTTATCATGCGTATTTTCATTCAGTTATGTCACACGGATTGATTTTTTGGGGGAACCTCTTCACATAGCTCAGTTATTTTTAAACTTCAAAAGCGAATGGTTAGAATAGTAATGAAGGCTAGACCTAGGGATTCCTGCAGATCNTCAAACCACTCTGGTCACGCCTGTTGCTATACGAACTTGAATGATCGAGCATCATTTGCTCTGTGCTTCAAGTTGCTGCTGATGACCCTGCTTCCGGCTTCAGTTTTTGGTGTCTCTCTTCGTCTGATGCCTATCCTTTGACCTGTCCAGCAAAGGAGGCCCTGCCAGTAGCTACACTACCGCTGGTATAGCTCTCAGGGTCCTTGGCATACTCAAACCCCTCACCACGATAAGGTGGAGCCACCAATTATAAATTATTCCCTATACTACTGAATTAAAGTTTTTGGGGTTAGTATTACATAATAATATGTGTTGGAAGTCTCATATTGAAAATTTGGCTGTTAAAACTCACTAAAGCTTGTTATGGTGCAAGAGTAATTAGACTTTTGTATCACTGAACTCCCTTAAGATGATTTATCATGCGTATTTTCATTCAGTTATGTCACACGGATTGATTTTTTGGGGGAACCTCTTCACATAGCTCAGTTATTTTTAAACTTCAAAAGCGAATGGTTAGAATAGTAATGAAGGCTAGACCTAGGGATTCCTGCAGATCATTCTTTAAAATATTAAATATATTACCTCTGGCCTCACAGTACATATTCTCCTTGGCTCTGTTTGTGATTGCAAATAAAACTTGGTTCAGACAAAATTCTTAAATTCATAGTTTCAATACTAGGAATAATTCCAATTTTTTCCAACAAATGACCCATCTAACAATGTTTCATAAAAGTCCTGCTTATGCAGGTGTCAAGATTTATAATCATCTTCCAGATAATATTAAGGTAGTGGCATGTGATNTCAGGGTCCTTGGCATACTCAAACCCCTCACCACGATAAGGTGGAGCCACCAATTATAAATTATTCCCTATACTACTGAATTAAAGTTTTTGGGGTTAGTATTACATAATAATATGTGTTGGAAGTCTCATATTGAAAATTTGGCTGTTAAAACTCACTAAAGCTTGTTATGGTGCAAGAGTAATTAGACCTTTTGTATCACTGAACTCCCTTAAGATGATTTATCATGCGTATTTTCATTCAGTTATGTCATACGGATTGATTTTTTGGGGGAACCTCTTCACATAGCTCAGTTATTTTTAAACTTCAAAAGCGAATGGTTAGAATAGTAATGAAGGCTAGACCTAGGGATTCCTGCAGATCATTCTTTAAAATATTAAATATATTACCTCTGGCCTCACAGTACATATTCTCCTTGGCTCTGTTTGTGATTGCAAATAAAACTTGGTTCAGACAAAATTCTTAAATTCATAGTTTCAATACTAGGAATAATTCCAATTTTTTCCAACAAATGACCCATCTAACAATGTTTCATAAAAGTCCTGCTTATGCAGGTGTCAAGATTTATAATCATCTTCCAGATAATATTAAGGTAGTGGCATGTGATATTAAAAGTTTTAAGAGAGCATTAAAAAAATATTTATATGAGCATTCTTTTTATACTGTTGATGAGTTTTTCTTAGTATAAAACTAGATAGCCACCTAGACAGCATAAATAACGTTGTTATATCTTATGGTCATTTATTTATCTTTTTCTTGTTCTATGATTGTTAATTACAAACTGGTAGTATTTTATACTCAAGTAACTTAGTAGTTGCTCCTCTATTAATTAGCACATTTTCATAAAATGAATGAACTCTCCATGACTTGAGTGCGGTAATAAATGTGCTAATATGGTATTAAAATTTCATTTCATTTTATATAGTGGACAATTTTTATGTACAAAGTTAGATAAGGTGAATTGTTTTATCCGTTTATTAATTCAAAATATTAGCTATATTTATAATCCTTTAAATTGTTACCTTGTAATATTTATATTTGCTTGTTAATCTTATATTTATTTTTGACAGAATCTTTTTATGACTGCATGTTCCTTGACTTCCTCTATATCCTACAGTTTTACCAGCCTGGAGTAACAGAAATGAAATAAATGAATGAATGAATGAATAAATAATAAATTTGAATAGAGAAATTAGAATTTTAACAGTTTTAAATGTGTTTTGAAGTATATACTGTATGGATTTATGGAGTTAAATATGATGCTGATATTATAAACATAATGTGTCATAGGTGGGTACTTTTTGACTGTATTTGTTTTAGTTGATATGGGTATTTTATATGAAATGGTGTAAATGCAAGTTTTATAGTAGGTTATTTTTTAAGTATGTCTATTAAATGAAATCTTATTAAATTCTTTTGCCCTATAATATTATCTATATTTATAGATCGATGTAAGTATCTTTGTTTTATTGACTCGTGCAATTTTGTATATGCATGTTTGATGTATCTGTATTCAAAAGGACTATTTCCACATCCTGGTTTGTTAACCTGTATGGATATATATGGAAAAATAAAGAATGAAATGAAAAATGAAGAATGCTGAAGATCAGAATACATTCACGCTATACATTCTTTTGAATATCTGGATTTTTTGCACAAGGTCAAAGAAAGTATGTAGAGATAGTAAATCTTCTCTCTAGACAATACTGGAAAGTAACAAGAAAAAATATCGAACTTACTGATTTCAATGCTTGCAAAAATAATCTGAGTTATAAGTTATATTCATGCATCAGAAATGCTGAGGTGTTAGGATTAATTACTTTTACACAGATTTCAGAAAAAATGTTTAAAACTCAAACTGAACATTACTGTTTAAGTATCAACAGTCTTTCATAGATTCAGAAACAAAAGTTAAAGTTTTGTTCCAGACAGTGATCTGAAATAGTAAATGATGAAACACATAACTACATTTTACCTTTCTCAATAATGAGGGAGTAAGAATTTCCCTGGATCTTTGTTCTGAACGGTCCCCCAGGAACTGCTCCTAAAATCTGTTGATTATCTTTGTACCATATCACAACAGGATCTGGTGTCCCTGTAACTTCAACAGTCATTGTGACCCGCTCTCCAACTTTTGCCATACTTGCTTGCAATCGTCGACCAAATACAGGTGGGAAAATGGTTTCTGTAGATAAATAAAATGTTCAGATATATAAACACACACGTCAGATGTTTCTTTGGAAAACTTTTATATTAACACAATTTAACACATTACTTCACAAGAACAGCTGAAGGCATAGTTCCTCAATACATCCTTAAATGAACACTGAAAAAATAAATAGCAAATGTTCCATTAAAACACACCACTAAGTAATTCTGCCTGGTATTTAGGTGGAGATGTGCTGCCCTCTTCAGGCTTCAAGAGGTAACGCTGCCCTGGATATATGGTGGGCAAATTCCTGAATGTGGTGGTGGTGGTGGTGGTGGTGAAGTGGAAAGTCTTCATCAGTTTGAAGTTTTGCAACAGTGAGCAGGAAACATTTCATTTCATCTAATTCATTGGGCACTGCCTAGGCCATTTTTGTACATACATTTATTTTCTTTTTTTCAAAATAAAAACTGTCAACTGAAGGACAAAGGTGCAACTTAATTCACTGTTTTAATGGAAAAGGAGGGAAAGAAATACAAGAATGAAAGGAAAAAGTGAAATGAGGAAATGGGGTGAACGATGAAGATATGAAAGCAACCGTATTCCACTGAATTTCAAAAGTCTTAGAATTACTTAAATCTTTAAAAATATTGTGTGTGTACTGATTCATATTACCTTTCACTATCCTCTACACAACTCTATTTTCAATTATCAATGTTAATTGCTATTTACTTTTAAGAGCTCTATTTCCTGAGATACAATGTTGTGTGGTCTCATGAAAATCAAAGTTGACTTTCACCAGACACATATATATAATTTGAGCATTCACTTACAGCATGTAATTCAGTTTCTGCATTTTTGTATATGGTATTTATGGTCTCACTCCATCAATTAACATGATCAGCAGAGAGGAGTTGACATATTACATTTAACTCCAATCTTTCCTAATTTTCTAGTACTTTCCTAGTGGCATATTGTGCATATATTAAAGCTTAAAAGCTCCTTGTTTCAGAGCAGTAAAAATAGAAAATATATAAGAAAAATGTTTATAACCTATGCAGACATTATTATATTGTGACATGTTGAGCTATGGATGACGCCCCACCCGCCAGCCGTGATGCGCCGAGCGAAGCCGAAGTGAGCCGAAGTTAGCCGAGTCCTAGCATCCTGGTCGCTAGGCAACGCGAGTCAACAGCGATGACGTCACCAAGTGTACCGCGGGTTGCTTGGCAGCGCGGGTAACCAGGATTGCGAGAGACGACGGTAGTAACAGCAGTTACTACCGCTAGCGTTGCTAGCTACACAGCGCCAGGCAACAAGGGTGCTTATTACGTGGCCGTTTTCTGTATTGTCCGATCGAGGCTACATGAGGAGCAGCGAAGGCTATTCACAGAGTCCTGGAGCTACCTCCGAGTGAGTCCTGGAGCTACCTCCGAGTTAGTTCCGAGTTAGCCAGCAACCAGTCAGTTGTATTGTGGCATTTGGAGTGTAGTATTTGTGATACTGCAGATAGCAGTAGTTCTTAAACTGTCAATTGTGTGATTGTAAGTGCGAATGTGAAATAAAATTCGCTATACCAAATACGGCGTGAAGTTATTTGTCGCGTCATACACCCAACACGCGACAATATGTTTCATTTAAACATACTTTAATTAGCCTAATAGGTAGGGCATACCAAAATTCAATGAGAATGCTACATGATACTTCGTCCTACCTGATTCATGCAGCTCTTTAAAGTCTATATATAACTGCTATACTTTCCCACTTTACTCAGATTCCTGACAAATGCAGAGTTTTGGGTAAATAGGTGACGTATTGTGACAGAATTCATGATGATCTCCAGTAATTGTCTACAACAGGACTGAATATTAAAAGTATTTTTAAACTATAGGACATTGCAGTAAACATAAATGTACCCACATATCCTGTACAGTATGTGGGATGGTCAAGTGCTGTGGCTTGTACAAAAATCAAGATGTTCAGTAAATGACAACTGGGGACACCAAGAAGTGTGAGAAGATACCAGAAAGCGAAAGGTGTGCTTATCACAGAATAACTGAACCTGGCAGAAACATCAACAGATCTAAACATAACCACCTGAAATCTATACTACATTAAAGAAATTTATATCATAAAGGTTAATTAACACTGTCCAGTGTGACTGATAAAATGTTTTTTCTCCTTAATCTTTTCTCCTTGACATGTTTCCATCTTATAGACCATCTTCAGAAGGATATCAATACAATTAGAAACCACTGTTACAGTGTGTTTTGTGAATATTAATACATACATAAAATGTTATAATAATACAATTAATAAAAAAATGTAATATTCTGACAACTACAGTAGCATGTACTAATACGTTAAAATATTTATAAATTACAGTTAGTATGTTTAAAAAGATTTTATTTTTTTATCAAATTGGTTTGTGTCCCTTTTTTTTCCTCTCTTTGAAGGAAGTCGATCGCCTACCAGCTTGTGGTTCCACTGTTTGGAGAACAGGATTCTTTTGTGTCATCTGTTGTTGTTCAGGGCATGCGTACAGTGAATAAAGTGAAGAATGACACTGAGAAGAGGAGGATGAAATAAATGAGGCTGAAGACAAGTGTTTTTGAATGGACAGATAATTATAGAAGAGTACTGGGCACACAAAGAAAATGACCTGAAGAAATTATAATATCAAAAGAAGTTTATGTAAATTCTAGATTATTTAAGGTACTGTCTTACTTTTAACAACAACATCGGCAGTGTTGGTGGCAGAACCCACACTGTTGGCAGCCCTGCATGTGTAGCGGCCTGCATCTTTCACTGTAACATTTCTTAGCTCAAGTCTGGCATGGTTACATTCCCAACTTATTATTACAGAACCATCTTTGGGACTCAGTTCTTGGCCATTTTTATGCCAAATGACAGTTGGCTGAGGATAACCTTTGGAAAAAGAGAAAAGAACGTTATTATTAACAATTACTTCCTCAAGTGAAGGCACAGAATTTTATTGCCGTTAAATGACACCACACATCATAAAGTTGTGGTTCTAACTGTACATATTTTTATAATTTTACAGTCTTTCAAATAAACACTGTATTTTCAGTTAAGAGGTTGTAAAAATCCAATTGGTGACAATTTTAATGTTAATTGTAATCTGCAGCTGATAATGTTGAAAGGCATGATAACACAAAATTTTCTGTTATCTGTTCCTATCTAAGGCCTGAACTATTAAATGTTCACATCTGACAGCCTGTGAAGAAGCCTGTCGAACTACACACCGTAAACAACACATCTTTGATAAAATTCAGCATACAAATGCTGCCTTGTAAATTAAAAATATTCACTGAACTATGGGGTCTATGACTGATATGAAATATCTGTCCAGTGTAATGATACTAGGCAAAGCTATTACAACACTCATGGCTTTGGTGTGGCGTAAACCTCAGGGAAGAAATGTCAGTTAGAATTTCCAAGATGCAGGAACACACTAGGCAAAGCTATTACAACACTAATGGCTTTGGTGTGGCGTAAACCTCAGGGAAGAAATGTCGGTTAGAATTTCCAAGATGCAGGAACACACTCCGGCACAGTGCAGTGTAAGATCAGGCAAAGGATTTGGGGATAACAGTTTTTGTGGGGTTTCATATATCTTATACTTTTCGTGTAATATGCTTGAAATTTTCAGATAATTATAAAAAAATGTAACAAATATGTATTTTCATAGCCCCCTGAACAAAGCTAAAAGATGAAGCAAATGGTGTATATTATTTTTTGATGTGGGCTAAAGTCGAATGTCATGCTCTATGGTAATGTATGGTTGTTCTGCTTTAATTGGATATTGCAGCAACACTAGCCTGATGTACAAGATGACTTCCTCATGCTGTACTGAAATCATTCTAAAAACGAGGAGCTAAAAATTATGAGAAACTGAAATTATTTTGAACATTAACATAAGGACTGATAACATATAAGATGTTCCTAATTATTAATGAAATAAATAAAACATTTAGACTAAGTGCAGAGAGGGGGCCGCGCCATAGCTCAAGCGGTTAGTCGCTGGCTTCCCACCGCGGCGGCCCGGGTTCGATCCCGGGTCTGGTTAAGTGGGATTTGTGGTGGACAAGTAGCGCTGGGGCAGGTTTTCTCTGAGTACTTCGGTTTCCCCTGCCAATCTTCATTCCACCAATTGCTTCACAATCACCCTCACCTATCATCTAGGGCTGGTATAATAGGCCAGAAGTGGCCGCAGTACAAGGGACTTAGTCCCACCCCACTAGCAATAAAAAAAGTGTAGAGAGAATTGTGAATATATGTAACTAATTCACACTGTAAGCATTGAAACATATGTATTAAAAAAAGTACCAAATGAACATTTTAAGCATCACTTCGATGGAATCATGATACTGCACGTATACCTGCCATCAGTCAATGTTTATTCTATAAAATATGGAAGTCTACCATGCATGTGAACATAAAACCTGGCAACAGCTACTGGATTAAGTACAGCATCTGCCTTTCAACAGAAGGTAATTATGCTCTCAGTGCAACTTTTATATCCGGCATCCAATATCCAATGTTTCTGTACCTACGGACACACATTCCATATTTTCTTTGCAACACAGTAAGCCATATGGTTGGTCTGTCTATGAATAATATATACACAAACTCTACAGCAGCAACTCCTCAAGGTTTAATGTTTGGAATCTTCATATTATCTGACTGCAGCTAATACTGGTTAATTTGTAATATCTAGTTTTAGACATGGCTGGTATGAAATGAATGTGCAGTGCATTTGGCCAGGTTCACTTGAGTAAGGATGAAAGAGATGTGTGGGTTAATCAGATAAGAGCTGTGAGCAACTAAGGATCTTTAGCTGCAGTGCATCATCACTTTATTTAGTACTGCATGTTTCAGACATAATGTATATCCCACTATACAACTCCCATTCTGTTGCCATACCTCACCTTACATGCAGTTTAGTGGCCATGGCTAAAGAAATGGACAGGTCATTGAATACTTGGCATTATCACAGTTCTTCAATATTAAACTATCAGAAACAGAAAAGTAAACACATTTTACAAGATAGAGAGGTAATCAACAAGTCTGTATGCAATGAGTGTTTCAATGCTGAAAGAGCACTTCTGTATTGTACTATGTATCTGATTACATCTTTCTTTAATTTAGAAACATTTTTTTTCTGAGAGGAATTTTTAAGCATATAACAACAGCCACTGCAGAAGTGGCCCTCTCTTTCTTTCTTACCCAATCTATATATTCCACAACTGGTTTCCTTTTTTATACCATAAATTTTCCTTGTTCACACAGCTGCATACACTGTTGCTAACTTCTGATAGCTGACGTTTGCACTTACCATCCACAATAGCATCCAAGATCACATCTGTACCCTGGTCTACGATTTTGCCATTAAGTGGTGAAATAAATCTTGGTGCTACTGATTTTCTGGTGGGTTTCGGGGAAGATACTGGGGTGGAAGAGGTAGTTGTTACAGTTTCTTGGTAGCCTTCAACTCCATTGACTACTTTGATAACTGTCTGCTCATGGATAACCGGATTATCTTGATTTTGTTGATGCAACTCTTGGGTCTGCTGACTCTGTACCTTTAAAACAATACACAAGCATAAGCACAATACAATCCCCATCCTTAGACAGACTGTGGGACAGATGTACATTGAGATGAGATCTGAATAGGTGGGGAAATTCAACAGCAATATCACATAAGTAATAATAGATTATTAACAGGCAAAGTATATGATGGGGTACCCAAAAGAAACTGAACTAATTCTTTTGTGGGCAGAGCTTTTGTAGTACCGCGTTTTGCTGCTATGAGCGCATAGAGCTAACATTCCTGAGTCGATAAGCCAACTACTGTTGCTTCAGAAGGTAAGGACTAGTTTCGGCAGAGTTTATAGTGGCAACTGTTTTGTGTGATCGTCGTTTTTGCAATGGCTGATTTTCGTGAACAGCGTGCAGCAGTGAAATTCTGCTTTTTGCTTGGGAAAAGTGGAACAGAAACTCTTGAAATGTTAAAAACGGTGTACAAGGACAATGCTATGGGGAAAACTCAAGTGTTTGAGTGGTTTTTCTGTTTCAAAAATGGTGAAATGTCAATTGATGACAAACCTCGTTCTGGTCGTCCTTCCACGGCATGAACACATTAAAATGTTGAAAAAATTCATGAAATCATCAAGGAAGATCGACGACGGACCATTGAAGAAATTGTGGAGCTGTCGGGAGTGACTTGGAGCTCAGTTCAGCGAATTTTGACAGAAGATTTGGGAATGAAAAGGGTGGCTGCGAAATTCGTGCCACGACTGCTGACTGCTGAACAAAAACAAGGTCGCGTGGAAGCATGCTGTGCTTTGAAAGAAGAGTCCCGAAATGATCAAAACTTTTTTTCAAAAACTATCACCGGTGACGAAACCTGGTGCTATGCTTACGATCCTGAATCAAAGCAACAATCAAGGCAGTGGAAGACTTCAAGTTCGCCTCGCCCCAAGAAAGCTCGTCAGGTGAAATCAAACATGAAAACAATGCTGATTTGTTTTTTCGATGTGAGAGGAGTCGTCCATTCAGAGTTTGTTCTGCAGGGCAGACAGTTAACCAGGCTTTTTTACTTGGAAGTTTTGAAAAGATTGTGCAACAGTTTGTGGCGGAAGCGGCCAGATTTGTGGCAGTCGGGTGACTGGTTTTTCCATCATGACAATGCCCCTGCTCACACAGCCCTGTCTGTACGACAATTCTTGACCAAAAATGGTATGACCCGTTCCTCACCCTCCTCGAATGAAAAGAGACATGAAAGGAAAGCGTTTTGCTGCTGTTGCTGAGGTGAAGGAAAAAACGATGGAGGCGCTGTCAAGCATCTCAAAAGATGAATTTAGACAATGTTTTGAAAAATGGAATAAAAGACTAGACAAGTGTATTAGTGTAAGTGGAGAGTACTTTGAAGGGGATTGAAGGTTTGTGCTTAAAATTTGAATAAATAAGTTTAAAAAAAATAAGTTCGGTTTCTTTTGGGTACCCCCTTGTATTCATAATACCAGAAACGTGTGCTAAACTATTAAACACAAAACTTAGCTTCCAGAAGACATAAATGTAATTCCAGAGACATCATCCATTGAGTTATAAACCATATCCCGGGAATAATGAATTCCAGTCAAAATTACACCTAAAAATGGCAAGTGCTCAGAAATGCAGACAAAGAAGTATGGTTTAGACACAATTTTAGTTTAAAGAGAAAATAAAAAAAATGTAATTTCCATGCATCTGATACACTATATGGCATATGTACTGACAGTATTCTCTTAAAATTTTTGTATTCAATTCTGAAGTGAAAAAATTTCTCTACAAAGTAAATAAAATCTACTAATCAAATCCTTAGGTTCAGTAAGAATGACAATTCCTGGTAGCAGTGACTCTGGCAATACTATGTATATACTTGTATCGTGTGGTTAAAAGTGAAAGTTAAAAGAAGTTCAGAAGAGAAGGTCAGAAATGTTGCCATTTCTTATAAAGAACAGGCTCTGCCAACTAACCAAATAGAATTAATTAAATTAAATGTCGTGATTCAGAGAAATATTACATGATGCAGATCAGTTTAATAATCCTGAGTGCCAATAAATAAATGTTATAAACAAATGTACATCAACAGCAGACAGATCTTGAGAAAGATATCTTCACTAGTCTATGACAAAATCTGACCATAGTTTCAGTAGAGTCTGACAACATGTCCACTTGTTCATTCATTCATTCATTCATTCATTCATTCATTCATTTCACTTTCTAATTGATCCTGATACAGGCATAATACAAGCCATAGGATATAGAATGAGTCACAAGATCAAAATTTAAGTTACAGTAATTAATTGAAACATGTCAAAAACAAAAAACAAAACAAACATACATGCAAACAATTATAAAGCATAAAGCGGACATACATAAACAAATTTACATCAGATACAATAAATATTAAAATTCTAATTCTGGTTCACTTCATTAATAAAATTGACAAAATTATGTGAGATAAGACAATATTCCAATACAACAATTGATAACAGTAAACCAGATACAATATAAACAAGCTGTATGCTAAGGCATGAGTCAAAGTTATAAAAATTCATTATATAATATAAAATTTATAGTAATATTTCATCAAAACATAAAATTATATTCATCTAATTCATTCTATATATCAGGTAAAATTCCAATTCCATAGATCCATCCATAGGATGAAAGCGTCAATGTCATCCTTAACACCAAATTTCACCATCAAAGAACTCCTTCAATGAATAAAAGGAATTCAATAAAAGATAATTTTTAGGACATTTTTAAATTGGATCCTATCCTCTGATAATTCCTTTATGTAGGGAGGTACATGATTAAATGCTTTAATACCCATATAATAAACAGCAGGTTACCCTTTTTTTGATAATTACGAGTTCAAATCATTATGTAATCTTCCAACCATAACTAAATCTGTATTATAACTGGGAAAGGAAGAGAAGAGAAGGTATAGCGCATTTCTTAAAGGACACTGTGATTATGAGATCTGAGATTTTCATGGTGGTGGAAGTTTGGATTGTAGGCTTCTGAGTTATGACATGGTGTAATATGGTAGGTGGTAATAAACTTTCATTGCTTTTTTCTATATGGCTCTTCAGCCCTTTGGACCTTGGCCGCTTTTCAGTTTCTTAATCCTATACAAGGTCGGCAGTACTCCTTGGATGGTAGATAAGCCTGTCACAAGGCCACTACCTTCACACAGAACAACACAGACATAGAATAAATGCACACAGACGACAATGCCTCAAGTGGGATTTGGACCCATGACCCCATTGTTCAAGTGGGCAAAAATGGTTCATGCCTTACACCATGCAGCCACTGTGATCAGCAGGTAGTAATAAACATTTCAGTTAAACTTACTTCATTCTTAAGAGCAGAAGTACACTAAATATGGAGGCAATAGGTTTATCTGAAACGGTGATTAATGTCTGCAGACTGAACAGTGTTACAAATGAGAAAACTATAATTCAATTTAGTTATTCAAACTACAAAGAGTGAGGTGAACTGAAAACCAGCTCACACTGAATATTGTGATAAGAATTCCATGCTAAAGACATACGTAAATTAGCCATTCTGTGCCTAACACAACAGAATATAATAATATTACATTTCTCCTGCTGTAGTTAACATAGTAGAACCTAAGAGCATAAAACACATTAAAATTGACAAGTCTTAAAAACTATCATGATACCGTGAATATAAATGGGGGCTCAAGGATTATAACTTTTCAAACTACCGTGTAATGAGGTATTTTAAATTTAAATAGAAAGCAAATGAAGCATTTAGTTATAAAAACCATGAATAAAAAGAATATTTAATGATTTTGTTATTAAAATTTGTTTCTGTACATATAAACTGAAAATTCTTCCCTGGAAGAACATTTAATAACATGACTGTTCTATCCTACAAGACACAAACCAAGTTCAACTTCAAGACTTTTGAAATGAGCATGGTTGTAATAAAGATATATGTGCCATTATTCCTGTATCCCCATGCAAGAAGTAATATGAGAGTACGGGTATAAAGCTGAAAGCATTTTAACTTTGATACCGTTTTCATATTCTGGCTGCCTTTCCCTTTGTTCTCCAGGCAGAGAGTTAATGACACTTCCTTCAAATGGTTTCTGTTTTTTAGAAAACTGTAATGTTCATATTACAGTTATGGAAAGAATCTTCTCCTTTTGTGTTCTGACACAAATTACTGTTTCGATGTTATTACAATGTGCTTAAGCAGTTCAAAGTATCAGAGAACAGAGCTTCACTAAATTCAAATAAATCAAACAGATATGTGATAATAAAAATTACAAAATACTACTCTGTCCAAAAAGTATCCAACCTTGGGCCAGGAAAAAAGTTCTGTATCTGGGTGGTTACAATACCTAATCACCTTCAAAGCAGACCCCTTGTGACTCCACACACTTAGCCCAGCAGTCCTTCCATTGCTGGAAGCAATTCTGGAAGGCTTCCTTTGGAATGGCGTGCAGCTGTGCTGTCACGTTCTGCATGATGTCCTAGCAGCTGTCAAAATGGCAGCCTTTTAGCGGTGACTTCAATCTTGGGAACAGTCAGAAATCACAAGGAGCTATGTCAGGAGAGTAGCGAACCTGGTGAACCTGCAGAATGCTGTGCTTGGCCAGGAAACCCTGTATCAGGTGCGATGAATGAGCTGGGGTGTCGTCATGATGCAGCTGCCAGTTGCGTGCGTCCCACAGCTCCGGTCTCTTGCGCTGAACTGCATCACGAAGATGGTGGAGGACTTCTTGGTAGTACTCCTTATTGACAGTATGGCCTAGTGGTGCGTACTCATGATGCACAACAGCCCGGTAATTGAAAAGAACAGTCAGTAGCACCTTCGCACTGCTCTGAACCTGTTGTGCTCTTTTGGGCCTCGGGGATATTGGATGCTTCCATTGTGACGCCTGGACCTTGGTTCCCAGGTCATATCCGTACACCCACGACTAGTCACCAGTGGTCACAGTCTTCAGGAACTCAGGATCCCTGCTGGCGCAATCCAGCATGTCCTGCGCGACCTCAAGGTGGAATTGTTGCTGCTCTGGCGAAAGCAGCTTGGGCACAAATTTTGCAGTGACTCTTCGTATGCCCAAATCCCCAGTTAAAATTGTTCGCAGAACCTCTGCTGATCCCAACCTCATCAGAAACGTCACGGATTTCAGCTCGTTGACGGTCTGCTGGAATGCTGGTCACTGTCCGCAAACATATGGCCATCTTTAAAGCATTTGAACCACTCTTTAATTTGAGTGACCCCCATTGCATCATCGCCAAAAGCCTGCTGAATTTGCAAATTGTTTCCGCTTGGGTATCCCCAAGTTTCTGACAAAACTTAATGCAGTATCGCAGCCCCAAGCGTTCTGTCATCTTGAGCGAAACGAGAATACAACGAAGACGAGTTACACCACTTCACTATCTGGCAGCCACAGACGCATCCAGCAGTGTTGCAAGTCAGCAAAAAATCACGCATGCGCATGAAAGTCCCTTTACCACTGCGCTCAGTTTCCCCACCCCTTTGGCCATTACTTACAGCGGAAAAAAATAAAGTCGGACACTTTTTGGACATATGGTATATTATGATTTTTATACATATTCTTCAAGGACTGTTAATAGGGAAAGGAATAGCATACATATATCAATATTCCTCTGAAGTATTACAAATCCCCTCCCAAGTGTAGGCTCTGGTCTTCAAATTTCTCTACACAGCCCTAATTATAAAGTAGAATTCCTAGGAGCCTCTGAACTTTGTTACCAGCAAGTACAAGAGATAGTATTACTTCCATCTGGTACAAGGCTTCAGAGATGATTGGATAGACACCATATGTGGAACTATTTTCATTAATTATCCTACCTGCAGAGGAGGCTTATCTCCAATCTTCTCAAATTTTTCTTCAGATTGTGAGGAATAGCTGTGAACCTGTACATTAGGTTCCATATTTATCGTTGATGCTGAAGCTGTCACTTCACTTGATGATGACTGGACAATTACAGAGCGCTTCACTGTGAACAAAGATGATTCTTGGTGCTCAGTCATGATGCTGCTTTCATGTGGTGTAGTGCTCACTTCTACAGGAGATTTGGCTGTGTAAATCAAAACATTAGCAATTAACATAATAATTTGAAACAGAACACTAAAAAACAGTGATGTGTTGTTTAAATGGTTACCTATTCAAGGAGTAAAGAGTGATTTTCAAGAATTGAATTGAATTGAATTTATTTACATTCCGTAAATCCAGTACAGGTGAGACACCATAGGATATGGAACAAGTCAAGTTAGAATACATAGTAGCTATACAATAATACAGTAATACTGCAATTAAATGAGGTAAACTTATAATACTTATAATACACATTAAACAATGATCAAGAAATTTATCAAGATTTATAATGGACTAAAATAAAATAAAATTTCCATTAAGACATTCATTCATTACTCCTTCCATTAATCAAGTGCATCAAATTAAAATGCATATAAAAGAGACAATCAATAAAAAAGAAACCAGTGCCATGTAATAACCCTGAAATTACAGCATTTCTGAGAATTCCTAGCTCAGTAAAACTTATCTTGTGTTTGAACTGAGTTAAAAAATTTGGATTTACAGCACCCATCAATAAGACTGACACATTCCTTGCTCAAGCTATGTGAACTTTCCAGAACTTCCAAAACTGTTACCTTAATTTAGACCTCACTTCTCTCTTTGAAGTAGTCATTCTGTTGGATACTTTAAATTGCATTTTTCATAAATTCTGAAGGGTTCTCATAATGGTACATTTCACAAGCACTTGGTATTACTGGTTTTCAAGATTTTATCCATCATCTAGTAGTGTGAATAAAATACAATGTTACAGAACTGGATCTAACTCTATCCTCAGGTGTAAAGGTGGTAAGGTACCTACTCTGTTTGGTACATCAGAAGAAGCTATCTAATCAGTGATTTCACCTGAGGACAGAAATAGTCCCGGTTTCTGACGTGTTGTGTTTATTCTGTTCGGAATACTACATAATGGATGAAGTCCAGAAACACGGTTATCTTAAATATTACTTTCACACTTGTGATATCTAATAAATACAAGAAGTTATAGCAGATGTCTGAGTTAATTAAAGTACATGTTACAAATATAAAATTTACATCAAGATGCAAATTTGTGGCCCTCTGAAGGCTGCAAGTTACACCCATGGAACTCAGTGTTCAGTGCACTAAGTATACATACATTTCTACTCAACTGAAGTGCATACAGTGCAACAATGAAACATCCCCCCACTAACAGCACAAATCTGTTTCATCAGATTCTCATTATTAAAAAAGTTAATGTCATGTATGTACCATTTCTAAGTCAGCAGGTCCTATTACAGATCACATTAACTTTCTGTCAAATCATTCATACTTTTATTCATTCAATTTTTATTATGGTAGTGAAATTAACAAAATCTGTTTCTCTAACCTCTAATATCTATAAAGTTCAAAGTTAACCTACTCACAATAATGAAATCTAACAAAATCTGACACATTTTCTGATGGTTAAGATGCAGGCTGCCATAGGGACTTTCAACACCGAAACTTCCTCGCACTGTGAAATCTCTTGCTTTACTGCAGTACTATTAAATGACCTGTATCTGGGGTTGCAACACTACAGTGAGGAAAGGAAGGCAGAGTTTAAAATATCCAACTTATGATTACTCATCAGTCTATATGTGTTACACTCCACATAGCATACAGTGGACAGAGAGGAACTGTGCCATAAAATTCTAAAATCAGACATGGTGACCCAAACATTAACTGTGAAAGTGTTCTGTGTCCTATCTGCTATGAATTTTATCATACCAGACATACCTTTTCAGAATATATCCACCCATTATTTCAATAAAATGACAGTGAACTAGGAGAGTGTGCCCCTTTGTGACTGAAAAGTTGGTGTTTGAGCAGTTAACACTGCCTAGGATATGAACTACACGAATAGCTAGAATTTTGTTCTAACTATAGGCACACATAACACAAGAGAATTTTAGATTAAAAAAGAAAAAGCAAACAAACAAGACATCTTTGATAATTTAATTTTACACTCCATTTTCTACATCCAAAGTCATGTTATTTTGTGAAGAACAAATGCAATTTCATAAATAGGAATTTGTATGTCTGTGTGTGTGTGTGTGTCTGCATGTGAATCTATTGATCCTCCCTACCCCATATTACCTATACAGATTGTAAGAGAAAGGGTGCACAGATTTTATACATTTTTGTTGACAAAATAAACAGAGCCAGGAGAACAGTTTTCACTACATGAAACAGCTACTCTAAGAGCGTTTTCCCCACTTTTTCCTGTTCCGCTGCACTTGAACCTGAGCTCCTTTTATTGCTCGCAAAATGTCCTTCTGCTATTCAAATGCACTAAAACTGATGAATGTGCATTCATGTGAGTTTCACAGAACAAGTATCGTAAGTAAAACTTTGACAGTGCTACCGTCATGTAGCAAAAACCGTAAGCTTCTGTCTGTTTATTTTCTTGATAAAAATGTTTCAAATGTGTGCACTCATTCTCGGATACTCTCTGTGGATGTGCATGTGTGGGTGGGTGAGTGGGTGTGGGTATAACATACACAATTGAAACAAATATTTTTCACATTTCTTGTAAGTAAAATCCTTTACAGTCACTGATGTTAGGAATGTTACTTTCTGTGCATCCATGAAGATATTATACAGTATATTTTCAAAAGATTATTACAAGAGTTTTATTTCAGTGATGTACCTATATCCAAAACTGCATTATAATGAGAAATCAATCCTACAAGTCACACACTTCTGTACATATCTTCAGCCATTTATATCTACTCCAATAAACGTTCTGACTTTTTGTTCGCCTACTTTCCTTATTTTAAACAAGAAGTTCTGGAAAGAACTAATTGTCTACTGCCCTTGATATGACATGGACCACATAGAAAATGATGCATCCAACAGTTCTTCTGTTGTTACGTGTGTATTCATTGCCATGGTAATATTTTTACTGAGCTGTTGCCTAGCAGTGGTAGGGGAACTTTTACACAGCCCTTGCCTAGCAATGATAGGGGGATACACATATAGACACAGTCTGATGGGAAGGCCTTATGAAGTACACAACTGAGATGGGCTAGGGTGCCATGATATACATACCAAGTTTTGTAAGGACTGGTTCAGGCATTCAAAAGTTAATATGGAGGGACACACAGACAGCATGGAGATCGCATGAGCCTACTTTAGGAAAGTAGTTTAAAATATTAACGTAGGCTTATGCAATCTCCATGCGGTCTGCCTGTGAATCCTCCTTCCCCCATTAAATTTTGAATGTCTGAACCAATCTTTATAAAACTTGGTATGTATATCACGGCACCTGAGCCCATCTCAACAGCCTACTTCATAAATCCCTCCCATCAGTCAGTGTGTCTACATGTGCATCCCTCCCATCGTTGCTAGGCAATGACTCGGTAAAGATATTCCCGTGTCGATGAATACATGCAACAATATAAGAACTGTTAGATGTGTGTGACTGGGTCTGTGTATCACTTTTAGGTAACATCTTGGTAAAGATGTTCCCATGGCAAAGAAGAATTGCTTGAGGCATCATTTTCTGTGTGGTCCATGTCCTGTGAAAGGAAAGTAGATGATTAGTTCTTCCAAGAACTTCTTGCTTTGGTTTAATCAACTACCATTTCTCTCTATTTGGGATTAAAAATTTATATCACATTTAAGTTTAACGTTTCTGCTGTTTTTTGGACCCTCCCTTTTTCTCTTTTCATAATGTGATCATGCCCCTGAACTTTTTTAAGTTATAATTTAGCAATTCAGACTTGTAATCAGAGTATTTTTAAAATCATGTGGCTTTGATTCAGAGTGTAAATCCTTGAATTTATGTAGTTCATACTTCTTCTCAGTTACAAGTTTTACAGTAACATAATTGTTAACTTCTCAGGACATAAAGAAGGAAGATTCAATACTATGGAATATTTTTGGCCATAAGTCATAAGAACTGAATGTTTTATGTACTAAAACGTTCCTGGTTCTTCACACATCATGTTTCACAAAAGAATTGCATTGTACTCAAGATGTTTCTGAAATATCAACATTGATCCTCACTTGTGTAGCCTTATTCATTGCACTTTTCCATGATATCTTACACTTTTGGAGTTTTAAGTAACCTTCCAGCAGCAGCTGGTAAGCCATTCAAAGCAAGATTACATGCATTAATAAAGAGCTGGTGTTGACAAAACTTCCCATGGCCAGATGTGATATATTTCTTATTTATTTCCTGCAACAATTTTGTTAGGTGAGTTTATGAGTTCAACTTCCTGTTACAGCAACCTTTACTCAAGTGGTAACCTTCAGAAAAGATGTTTCAATGCCTGGGGACACACATAATCAACATACAGCCATCTCATGGACTGGATTTTGCTTAGCTAATTGTGCACTATTATAAAAGGCACAATATGTGGGCAGGTAATAACATTTAAATAGCTGAAGATTGATATCTGTACTACCTGCAAAGGTCAGTGAGATAGTTGTGAGGTAGCTCTTTGGTTTGTCAAACCCTACATTAAGACACAGTGGACTATTAAAAAACTGTAGAATAAATGTGAAACCAATCACCTTCTGGTATGAAAGAAACAAAAGTACAGGTGAAGGAAGAGTCTCTTGAAGGCACACTGGCTAAGAATACAAATGTGAAAACTGAAAAATGCTACTCTAAAAATTAGATGTAGTGATTCTTAACCATTTAAGGGGTAAAAACATGCATAAATATTATTTAAAAATATTGCTGTTACTTATAGGAAAACATACATCTTCATTACAAAAAACTGTGATAATGATATTCAGTAAAATAGTTTTTGCCCATTCTTAGAACCAAACAACACCCTTAACTACATCCTGAGAACAGAATTCCATGTTATTGTACAATACAGTGTGATACAAAGAATTGATTAAGAGATCATAGGTTTGCAAAGTAAACAATCTTTTTTATAAATTCAAATGTATAATATTTTGTTAAGTGTAGTACTGTTATTAAAGAAATATGACATTTTACGTCCAGGTAAATTACTGACCTTGTAGATATTACTATATTTAATAAAGAGGAGAATATGTGACCAGAAAGGAAACATAACAAGTTACACACAGTGAAATTGGCAAAGAAATATGACACCACTTGTGGGACAGGATTGAGAGAGGCAGATTTACAGAATTATCAGGAAAATATAGGCCACTGGACTTATAAGATAAACACTTTTTTACTCACTCTTGACACTCAGTCTGGCGACACATGTTGCCTTGCCAGCTTCATTCTCTGCTACACAAGCTATTTTGCCAGTGTGGTCTGGTGACGTTTGGAAAATGGCCAATGCATGCCTGTCACCACTGCTGGATACCAAGAAGTTTTTACCAGATACTATCTCTTCATTGAAATACCACTCCACCTAAGTTGAATTACACAGTGAACTTGATTTCAATTAACATTACGAAAGACAAAATATCTATTCTTTTCTAAAAATTGAAAGAATATCAAATATATTTCATCTGAGACTACAGCAGTGTCTGTTACATCATGGATACCAAATTATACTTTTAAATAAATATATATGAAATAAAATAAACAAGCCAATATATATCTGTTATGAAGACACAATTACTACATATTGCAGCTTGCAGGAACAGCATATCATTTTTCTAAATAGATAAATATAAAATTATGAAATCCAATACATACAGTTTTCTTTCCCTTTAAAATTCAATGGCTATTAAAATATTAGAGACCACTAAAAAGCTAATTTGGCACACACACAAAAGCTACAGTCCATTAGGAAGCTAAAGTTTGGCTCCTGTACACAAAGTATCTACTTCTCCTACTTGACACTGTTCCCTGTCTCGTCCTTAGACTACATAGTCTATGCATTCAGCAGTTTGTCTACTGTAACATAAAGAAATATGGAGCAACAAACTGTAATATTTTTAAATTCTAAAGGTTCTGACGATGGTATATAACACTCAGAATTACTGAGTTTTTGGACTTTGTCCATCATGCAGTATTCTAGAAACTAGAACACACAACGTTTTGGAAACTGGATCTGTTTCAGTCTTCAGGTGGGAGGGAAGGCACCTACCCTGTTGAGTCCCTTTGGAAGAGCTAACCTCAATGACATGAATCTACTGGGTGATAATGTAGATACCATAAAGAAAAACATAGAAACTTAAAACTGAGTATATGTTGCTATCTTGTCACCATAATGCAGGACAAAATCATGACATAAAGATAGTTAACAGATCCTTTGAAAATGTGGCACAATTCAGATATCTAGGAATGACAGTAACAGACCAAACACTTGATTCAGGGGGAAATTATGAGGAGACTGAACTCGGGTAATGCTTGCTACCATTCAGTCCAGAACCTTTTGTCTTCCCATCTGCTGTCCAAAAACATAAGAATTAGAATATATAAAACTATAATTTTGCCTGTGGTTCTGTATGGGTGTGAAACTTGGTCTCTGACATTAAGGGAGGAAGACAGACTAAAGGTGTTTGAGAACAGGGTGTTGAGGAGAATATTTGGATCGAAGAGGGATGAAGTGACAGGAGTTTGGAGAAAGCTGCATAATGAGGAGCTTCATAACTTGTACTCTTCTCCAAGTATAATTAGAATGAACAAGTCAAGGAATGGGGGTGAAGAGGAATGCATATAGGATATCTGTGGGAAAGCCAGGAGGAGGACAAGATGTAGGTGGGTGGACAATATTAGAATTGATCTTAAACAGGATGGGGTGGTATGGACTGGACTGGACTGGACTGGACTGATCTGAATCAAGATAGGGACCAGTGGAGGACTATTATGAACATGGTAATGAACTTTCATGTTCCACAAAATGTTGGGAATTTCTTGAATAGTTGCAAAACTGGCAGCTTCTCAAGAACTGCTCAACTCCATGAAGTTTGATACACTGATATATTGGGTTTTTGGACTTCATCCATCGTCATGGTTTTTAAGATAACTAATAAAAACACAACGTTTCGGAAACTGGATCTGTTTCCGAAACGTCGTGTTTTTATTAGTTATCTTAAAAACCAGGACGATGGATGAAGTCCAAAAACCCAATATATCAGTGTGTTATACACTATCGTCAGAATCCTATAGTAACTACTTCCATGAAGTTTGTTAGAAGTTTACCAAAACAAGAAGTGTGATTAATATCATACTCTGATTGACTTACTGTTTTCACTTGATCTCAATTTTTTTATTATACAATAACCAAAAGTTTTTGTGTAACGGTATAAAAACTTTAATATCACAGCACAATAGGATGTACATAATTAAAATAAAGATTGAGGTTTTGAGGTTTTCACGGTGATGACAATGAAGAAAGTTGTCTTCTGGGTTTAGGCACCGTGTATTCTTCGTTTTGGCTGACGTTTCGGAGGAACGTAGCGCCTCCATCTTCAGAGCAGTTGAATAGCTGCGGAGAGCAGTAGCTGTGGTGATAGGATGTGGAAGGTGCTGCTTATATACGAAGTAGGCAGGGGGGTGGTTAGGGAGAACGGACCAATGGGAGCAGTGGAGAGCGATTAAGGCCATATATGGTGTGTGACTAAGGGAGAGGGGGAACGGCCAG